GCGCCCGCACTGCGCTCAACCAGTGAGCGGACCGGTCTCTATATGGGATCCGAACCATCGGCGGGAGCGCTGCCGTGCTCTCAAGCACCGCACTCTACCGAGTGCGCCACCGGACCGGCCCTCTGATGGGTCTTTTGAAAAAAACCTCTAGGTGTCCCTTCATTGTTTGCAGGGCTGTGGTGTGATAATAATAGTAGCAACAGTAATGCCTAATTATTAATTACTAACAACATCTAATAACTATCAGATGCTTGTGTTTTGCCAGGCACTGGGCTAAGTGCTCTGCATATATCTCCTGTAACTCTCACAGCCATCCTGGGACAGAGGCACTATTAAAATTTTCATTTTATACATGAGACTGGGGATTTAGGGAGGTTAAGGGACTTTCCCAAGATCATGAAAGTAGAGCTAAGACTCAAACCCAGGCTCGCTCCTCCCGGAGCCTGCATCTCTAAACAACTGTGTGAATCCCTCTCCTGAAGTCAGTGCTAATGTGGGAACAGGCTCCCTTGGGTGCTGTTCCATTTCTCTCTCTCCCCATCCCCAAACTCTCAGCTCTTAGCACACTCTCCCTGCCCACCCCAGAGGCTCCACTGTGTCATAAGCACAGACAATATTTAATTCTCTCACCATACACAAGAATGCTTTTGGCTTGATGACAATAGAAATAGTGTTTTCCTAGAAACACAACTTTCGTGGCCTCCTTAAGTCTTCTAACCTTGAAAATGTGACACTTTCTCTTTCCCTGGTTTGGAAATGCTTTTGGTCTTTGGGCCCCTGTCCCATGTCTCCATGTGCAGAAGGGTATTGGTAGCCAAGGGCTGGTTGGACATGGGGGAATAGGGTGAGTCCCCTCCCCAGGAAAGGGGTGTTTGCTGCCTACCAATGAAGGACGGCTGGAACAGGGTCTCTGGGCAGCGGAAGCGTTCGTTCCCAATGGTGATCACCTGCCCATCAGGCAGCTCGTAGCTCTTCTCAAGGGAGGAGGAGGACGCAGCAGTGGCCATCTCATTTTCAAAGTCCAGAGCTACATAGCACAGTTTCTCCTTGATGTCACGGACAATCTCACGCTCAGCTGCCAACCAGATACAAACATTATGGCAAATGTGAGGGTTTCACCGTTGGTAAAAATCCATCTGCCGCACTTCAGTCTCTCCCCCAGGACATGTTCCTTCAAAAAAGTGTCAGTTCAATGCTCTGCAATCCAAAACCCATGACGGTAATTACATTGTAGGTCCACCAGGGAGACATCTCTGTTCCTAGCAGAGTGTGTGACACATAGTAGGTCTTAGTAAACATTGTCTGGAAAATGCATCACAGGAAGAAAATGAGCTAGCTAGAGAAAGGCACGGAGTAGGGAATCCTTTCATGCAGTAACTTTTTTGTTTTTGCGGGATAACTAATCACCCTATGTTATAATTGTTTTATAACAGATGATTATACAGGAGTTTGAGTTGACCAGAAAGTCTTATGCTAACCAGCTCCTCAGGTACCTCATGATTTTCAAAAAGCTGACACATAGTAGGTCTTAGTAAACATTGTCTGGAAAATGCATCACAGGAAGAAAATGAGCTAGCTAGAGAAAGGCACAGAGTAGGGAATCCTTTCATGCAGTAACTTTTTTGTTTTTGCAGGATAACTAATCACCCTATGTTATAATTGTTTTATAACAGATGATTATACAGGAGTTTGAGTTGACCAGAAAGTCTTATGCTAACCAGCTCCTCAGGTACCTCATGATTTTCAAAAAGCCTTAGAGATCTGTGCAGCCTCGCCCAGGTAGAGTCCAGCTCACACCCTCGGCCCACTGATCACCTTCCAGAAAGAGGCAGTGCTGGCTCAGGACCAGTCCTGGTCCAGAAGGCTCCAGTGGTGCATATCGAAGTAGGTGTGCCTGTGCAGCCTCGCCCAGGTAGAGTCCAGCTCACACCCTCGGCCCACTGATCACCTTCCAGAAAGAGGTGGTGCTGGCTCAGGACCAGTCCTGGTCCAGAAGGCTCCAGTGGTGCATATCGAAGTAGGTGTGGAAGGAGTGGGCAGGCAGATACATTTCAGACTCCTGGGCTCTGAAGATCTAAGTTATGGGTTGCATCTCAGCCCTTGGGAACCTTTTGGAGGTGTCTTTGTGGGGAGCAGAGGAAGAATGAAATTAATTCAACTCCAGACCACAAAAGGGGACTTTAACACCATCAGGGCTCAAACTGAGAACCCAGAATAAGCCTCAGGTATGTCCAGAAACTTAATCATTTGGACAATGCTAAATTGGTGAGGAGAGGACAGGTAGCTAGAGCCAAAGGCACTGAGGCCATCTCAACGTTCCTAGTAATGCCTGACACTGCCCCCTTGTGGAGGAACACAGGGTGGCACCGGCTCAGAGTCTGAGGACACGTACCCCTCCCTGCCTGCTGGGCTGGCAAATAGCTAGCAATTATTGAATGCTTACTCTGTACTGGGAATTCCACATGCATGACCTCATTTTATGCTCACAGCAATCATGTGAGATAGGGTCAGTTATTATCCCCATTTTACAGATAAAGAGATGATGGCTCAGCAAGGTTGGTTAACTTGTCCAAGGTCACATAGTGAATGATAGTTGGGTTCCATGTTCTGTCGAGATGTCTCCAAAGACTGCCAATACTACACCATGCCATTTTCAGTCTCTGCACATTCTCTTTTCTATTTGTCAATGGAAGGGATTTTAAAATGCTCAGGTAACACAACTCTGACTAGCTCCTAACACTAGACAACTCTAACTGTCCTCAAGGAAATAGTATAATTGTTTTGCAACTTCACATAGCAAAAACGCTATGTTTTGCTCTGTGCATTACAGTCAGGCCTTGCCATTTGCAAGACTCCCTCCCATCATCTCCTTGGATGGTCGCTGTGGTCCTGTAAGTTACTGGGAACAACATACTGTCCTACACTCTCTCCCCTTTATTTCCCATGGGCCTCACCGGTAGTCACAAAGGAATAGCCACGCTCGGTCAGGATCTTCATGAGGTAGTCGGTGAGATCTCGGCCAGCCAGGTCCAGACGCATGATGGCGTGGGGCAGGGCATAGCCCTCGTAGATGGGCACGTTGTGGGTGACTCCATCTCCAGAGTCCAGCACGATGCCTGGGGGACAATGGGGCATGACAAAAGCCACCACAGCAGCTGGTGTGCAGTCACTTGCTGGTCTGGTAGAAGGAAGTCTTGGGGGAGGGGGAACTTCTAAGCCCCTTATTTGGAAGGAGGAAAGAGGGTATTTGATAGGAGAGGTGAGGCAGGGCAGGGCTTGGGGAAGATGGAAGAAAGGAGGAAAAGGAAGAGGGAAACAGTAGAAAAAGTCCGGCCAGAAATAGGAAGTCAAGGGCTTATTTTGACAGGTGAGAAGCTCTTTTAGGGCTAGGATCAGCCCTGTCAATACTAACTCACCTCAGTCCATTACACCCACACATTTACAGCCATCAAACCCTGTCACTGGCAGTGTATTCAATCAGGGCTCTCCATTGCTCCCAGCCACCTACCAGTTGTACGTCCAGAGGCGTAGAGGGACAGCACAGCCTGGATAGCCACATACATGGCTGGGACATTGAAAGTCTCAAACATAATCTGCAAAGCAACCCAAAGAGCTTAGTTAGTGATGTGGCCAGTCTTCCGAAAAGTGTTCAAGAGCACACACCGTGTTGAAGGATGCAGATGGGCCTGCCTGGTTCTGGGCAGAGGAGATCAAGGTAAAAGAGGCCAAGGCAGTCCTGGTCACTTGAAGAGGAGAACTGACGGTGTGAACGGACAGACCGTCACATCGGTGACCTGACGGGAGGGGGAAGGGAGGAGGTCGTATGCACACACGGCCTGGCCAGGGGAAAGGAGTGTCTAGCTTCTCTCTCGGGCCCTGGCCTTGACTTGAATGTGACCTGGAAGAATTCACCAAATTAATAATTGACTGATGTGAGCTTTATTCCAGGCTTTTCAACTGTAAATGGAGGAGGCGTTTGTACTACATGAGTTCTCAGGCTTCTTTAGTGTAGACAGTCTAAGTCTTATTAACAATATGAAAGCCAAAAAAAAAAAAAAGAAAGACAACACCTAAGTTTTGATTTCTCTGTCTGGCACTAAGAAAAAGACCTTTTAAACCGGAAGCTCCAACTAATTGGAATTAGCCCAGTGCTGTGATTTGTCTGAGGTTCCATTTAACCTCTTTTTATGTAGTTTCTGGGTCAATGCTTGCCCTAGAATCTGAGGCCTCTTTGGCTGCAGTGGGAGGGCAGCAGATTCCAGGATGACAGGAACTGATGATAATGGAGGACTGTGTACGACTGTCAATGCCCCAGCTCACCCAGTCCAGGGACGAATAGAACGAAAGCCCTTCCGGGTCACTCAGGAGAAGTTTGCACATCAGGAGACATACATGGTACTTCACTTCTTCATCTGTAAAACCCTTACTGGTCTATTAAGCAGAATGTCTGATATCATTTAAGGGACGAATAGAACGAAAGCCCTTCCGGGTCACTCAGGAGAAGTTTGCACATCAGGAGACATACATGGGACTTCACTTCTTCATCTGTAAAACCCTTACTGGTCTATTAAGCAGAATGTCTGATATCATTTGCTAGATAGCCGTAATTCCCAACTATTTTTCTGCCTTCACACCATTCACAGGAGCAATAACTGTCATCAGAAGCAACATCTCTTGCTAGAAGGAGCAATTCCCAGGCACACAGATGCTCCCTTGTAGAGAATAATTGCTGGTGTGCTGGTGTAAGCACCAAGAGCTCTTCCAAGGAAAAGACCCTGCAGTATTTACACTTATGATTCTCCAAGGACAAAAGATCATGGGTCAATTCCAGGCTCTGCCACTTCTAGTTGTGCATCCTTGGGAAAATCACTTAATGTATCTGAGTCTTGATTTCTTCATTTGTATAATCAAGATACTAATAGTTTTCCTGTTTTAGGTTGTTAGGAGTTAAAGGGACAATGCATGTAAAATGCTTAGTCTAGTACTTGACCACAGCAAGTGTGGATTGACATTAGATGCTATTATTAATAACTCATCCAAACTAGAAACTTTCTCTGGCTGGTGAACTGGGTGGTCTACTGCTGTAAGGTCTCAATGACAATAATAACTATTATTTGTTGATTGTTTATTATGTCAGGCACCATGATGCACATTTATCATTTTGTCTCATTAATCTTCACAACAATCCTTTGAAAAATAATAGTACTAGTACTATCCCAGCTTATAGACAAGGAAACTGAGGCTCTGAGAAATTAAGTGGGTACTTTAAGATTGCATAACTGGTAAGTGATGGATCCTGGTAAGTCTGACTCCAGAACCAAAATTCCTACTGTATGTTACACTGCATTTTGGAATGACTTCTCCTTACAAGTTTTTAACCTAAACATGACCCCATCTCAATGAAATCTTTTAAATTTCTATTGTTCTTGGAGGTCCAAAGGATGATCCTGCAGTAAAGATGTGCGTACTATCAGTATGTTCCTGTCATCTGGAGTCTCTGAGTTCCAGGAAAGTTGTCAGTGTGTCGGTGGACTGCTGGTTGGGGTCTTCTCTCTGCTGTCCTGCTTAGCCCCTTTCTAACAGGACTTCCCCCAAATTCTAAAGTGCTGGGTGCTAGGGTGGATATTCACCTGGGTCATTTTCTCCCGGTTGGCTTTGGGGTTCAGAGGCGCCTCTGTGAGCAGGGTTGGATGCTCTTCTGGGGCAACACGAAGCTCATTGTAGAAAGAGTGATGCCAGATCTAGGAAGCAGGGGACAGAGGAGAGACACAATGATGTGATGTTGTAGACACTGCAGAGCCCAAAAAGGGACCAGAATGAGCTAAATGAAACCAGGACCAGATACAATGTTACAAATCCTCATTATGTGTCCACATTTTTACAGATGTGGAGATTGAAGTTCGAAGCATGTGAGTACATTACCCAAGGATTCATATCTAGTAAATGACTGAGCAAAAACCCAAACCCAGATTTGTGAGATGGTGCAGTGGTTAAGGGCACAGGTTCTGGAGTCAAATCTGGGTTCAGACCCCAGCACGCCATGTCTTGGTTGTGTGAGCTTCGGCCAGTTTTTAGCCTTTCTCAGCTCCAGTCCTAGCACTGGTAACATGGGGAAGAAAGTAACCAGTATGTACCTCGTTGGGTCTTTGTGCGAATTACATAAGGTAACCCTAGAGATACTATCAGCTCAGTGCCTGGCCCAGAATAAATATTATTATCCAACTATATCTTTTTGACCCACTCCTTCCATTATAATTAATATTCATGGGGAAATTATCTAGTTTAGTAATTAAAAGGACAAGTGAATGCATACATGAATGAATGAATGAAGCTGACCTTAAAAACTAATTGCCACTTTTTATGCTTCCAGAGAACTTGCCCTTTGCAGTGTATGTGGACAAGAGAACAGGTTTCCCTGCCTCTGGGCTCCACCACCCTTTTTCCGCTCCAGGGCTGGCAGAGCCTCTGTTGGCACACTCTGATAAATGTGTGTGTGTGTGTGTGTGTGTGTGTGTGTGTGTGTGTGCAAGAGAGAGAGAGAGAGAAGCTGATAGGTAAATAAAAGGCCACGTATTGTAACTCTGTTATATGTTGCTGCATTTTAAAAATTTTATGTAATTTTCTCATCATTTTTTCTGCTTTTTCTCTGATCACTGGTGTTTCTAAAATTCCTAATAGCAAACATCAAAATCAAAATGAACTCTTCTCCTCATTAGCTCTTTTGTACAGGTCTGGGAGATAAGGACTTAATGCAATACAGAGAGATAATTTTAAAAATATTTACTTATGGGCTGAGCCCGTGGCGCACTTGGGAGAGTGCAGCCCTGGGAGCGCAGCAGCACTCCCGCTGCGGGTTCGGATCCTATATAGGGATGGCTGGTGCGCTCACAGCGCTCACTGGCTGAGCGCTGTGCGGCCGGTCTCAAAAAGGTCAAAAAAAAAAAATTTACTTATGAACGTTCACCAGTGGCTACTGTGCTTCAATATGTTGAGGGGTATTCAGAAAAGTACCAATGATATAGTTCCCTTTTCTATGGTGAAAACTAAGAAACTTTTTTTTTTTTAATGTTCAGGGTGAGTTAATGAAAAGCTTTCAATTGGTTGCTTAAGGCTATTCTCAGCTTTTCAATGCCTCTTAAACTGTATTGCATGGAGAGGGCTCTGATGGGAATGAAAGGATTCTTCTCTGAGCTGCTGCTCATACAACACCTGTCCTAGGAAGGTAGCCCAGTTGACATGAACAACAGACTGTTAATTCCTACCACTGGCAAAGGGCTGCTCTTCTAATCTATGGAACTGTTTCCCTTTAATTAGTTTATAAATCTGGTAGGTGAGGATTTCTTTTTTTTTTAAAGAAAAACTTCAGGATTTTTTTTTTCAGTGAGTAAGAACCCAGAATAAACACTAACGAGTAAAAGTTCAATTGAGCAATGCGATCCAGTTATTTTCCCAGCAGCAGCATGACTTTGTGAATCAGAGGCCACAGGAATTAGGCATCCTGAGCGCTCAACCTGAAGCAAAACTCCCGGTACCTTTTCCATGTCGTCCCAGTTGGTGATGATGCCGTGTTCTATAGGGTACTTCAAGGTCAGGATTCCTCTTTTGCTCTGGGCTTCATCACCCACATAGCTGTCTTTTTGTCCCATTCCTACCATCACCCCCTAAAAAGGTTCAACACATTAAGAGTCAGCCTCTCCCAAAACGTGTGAATTGATTACAGTCTAATCACAAGGGGTTAAACGTTGAGGTAGAAAGTTTCTCTTTTGGACCAGAAACAATATAATGAGTCATTGTCACTATGCCCTTAAGCCATATCCCTTTGGTGATTGAAAACAGAACTGAATCAGCCTCTCCTGTAGGAAAGGCAACTTGACATTGTGTTTTTAATTTTCTGTGTCTCTTGATGAGCTCTGTTAGGGTAGAGAGCATGTTTGTCTTGTTCACCACTATAGCAAATTGCCTGGCACATAGTTGGCACTCAATAATTATTTGTTGAACGTATGAAATTTTACATATTAGTTAAATGGCATTCTATCTGTTATAAATCCTTTACACCATACTTTTAAAATTGTTTTCTACCCAAAAGTATATAAATATTGTTTTCTAACCATTATAAGCAAAAGCTTTACATCCACAAATAAGCTTGATGCTTGATTTCTAATAGATAAATCTATACCAACCAACTCTATACCAACCAGCTATTAAGATATTTGCCTAAACTAGTCAGCTGCATTTTTTTAATCATTAAGGTGAAGTCTTAAAAAAACTCTCATTACTAGATTTTAAATTGCACTGGAGTGACTATTTTAGAATTGCAAAACAGCCATGGCCACTATAGATATATAAAATACTGGCATGTACAAATATCTTCATTGTACAAAGTTCAACAAAGAGAAAGACAGATTTTGTGCATTCAGAGAGGCTTTGAGGGCTGGCCCCGTGGCTCACTCAGGAGAGTGCGGCACTGTTAGTGCCGAGGCCACAGGTTCGGATCCTACATAGTGATGGCCGGTGCGCTCACAGGCTGAGCGTGGTGCAGACCACACCGTGCTGAGGGTTGCGATCCCCTTACTAGTCAGAAAAAGAAAAAAAAAAAAAAAGAAAGAAAGAAAGAGGCTTTGATTACTTATTCTTTTGAATATATGCCAAGATGAGAGTCATAAACATTCAATGAGGTCTGCTCAATGCACAAAATATATTTCTGATGTGAAGGAGAATTTCTAATGTGAAATCACCAATATTTTGTGTATACATAATACATAAAATCACCATGTGGCTGTCTGGATATATTCTGTTTGAAAACTAACATTATGTAAAATTACATTCGATATCAATGCTTGCTTTCATCTAACATCAAGGTCTATGAGTTTGGGTGACCTGGCCTTTTGTTTTAGTTTCCTTCCAAAGAGTAACTATGGTATACATCGGGGAGAACTTGCAAGGATTTCTGATGATGATGATGATACGATGGTGATGAGGATGATGATGCTGACAATGACTATATTTAGACAAAAAGAACATATGAAAAAGGGGCAAACTTTATATCTGATAGACACCCAGATAATCTGTCTGCATTATGTATGAAATTGGCATTTACTCCTGGACATCAATCAACACAGGTATATTTTTAACAAAGTTACATAACTTCTGGGCAGAGACTGATAATCTCTGGATACACATGAACACGGAGGGACCTAATCTATAGCCCTGTTCTCCTCTGGTCCAATCAGAGTTTTGCTCACCTGATGTCTGGGACGTCCCACAATGGATGGGAAAACAGCCCTGGGAGCATCGTCCCCAGCAAAGCCAGCTTTGCAGAGCCCAGAGCCATTGTCACACACCAGGGCGGTGCTGTCCTCTTCTTCACACATGGCTGGAGCTGCTTCACAAGGTTCTGCAGAAAACAGGGAGGGAGCAGCCCCAGCTGTAACCCAGCAGTTGTGGCACTTACCTGACCACTCCCATGTCCAGGCTGGGCTTGGGCCCCTCCTCAGATCTCCAAGCCCTCTCTCCTGCTTATCTGACAAAGCATTTATCTCCAAGTACTTTAATTAGACCATAAACCTTTGATGAGGGCCGGCCTGGTGGCGCACTGCTACAGTGAGCCACTTGGGAGTGCAGTGGCGCTCCCGCCGAGGGTTCGGATCCCACATACAGACCGGTTCCCGCTCACTGGCTGAGCGAGGTGCGGGCGCAGCACCGAGGGCTGCGATCCGTTGCCGGACATGAAAAAAGACAAAAAGGAAAAAAAAAAAAAAAAAAAACCTTTGATGAGCTGAAACTCTGACTTCTGTGTTTACACAACTGGCCCTTAGCAGTGGCAGGTACATCTCACCTTCTCTCTCATTGGCACTTTAAAGACGGACTAAGTGAGTGAATGAATGAGCAAACTACAGCACAGATGGGCATCTCAGACTAGGAGACCAGATCTTCACAGGGCCAAGCCACTTACCATACATTAAAGAATTTTCCAGAACTTTCTGTCTGTATCAAACCAAAATCACATTTTTCTAGAAATGTTATAATATTTAAAAATTGCTTCAAAAAGGTAGACTTTGAGGGATGAACAGCATGAGAAAATTTTTAAATGTTTAAGTATTTAATGTAAATGTTTAAAAGAAAAAAATCCCTTTTGGATCCTGAGGACTTTTATCCTCAGAGAAACATTAAAACAAATCAAAACCTTCTAAGAAGGTGCTTTAAATTTCAGGGGCCACGATTATCTGCCATTAATAAAGTCACTGTTAATCTAAAAGTCCAGCAAGTGAGGATGAGTCTGATAAGTTACACATCGTGTAGTAGAACACTTTGCTGCTGTTAGGTAAGGTGAGTAAAAGGATAAGATAACAGTATGTTCTTATGTAAGAATAATAGGTTAGAGAAAGTGACATCGTATGATCCCATTAAAAATGTATTTTTACTCATTGCAAATAGATTAATCATATTTACCAGGATGTTGACCGAGATTATTTTGAAATGGTGGGTTTTGAAGGTGTTTCTAATTGTCTCCCCTGGGTTCTGTCATATTTTCTTAATTTTCTAAATTGAGCATGTATTCCTTTGGTTATAAAACGATATTTTAAATAACCCACTTTTAAACTTGGATCCTTTGACGAAATTTGAAAGGCTGGAGCAGAAGTGTCATCTTACAAATTTGGGAAATTGAAGGTATATTAGAGGACATTTTTCATCCAATGCTTTCATTTTTACAAATGAGAAAACCCAGAGGAAGTGATTTGCTTGAGGGCACATGGTCATTAGAGGCAGAGCTCCAACCAGAGATCAGGTTCCTGTTGGTTACCCTTTCGCTTCCAATCCAGGATCCCTTTCATTTTTGTAAGCAGAATGAGAGGGAAATATTCTGTAAAGAGAGGGACACCCAGAGTTCTCCACCAGGCAATGAGATCTCAGTTAAGACTCCAAGTTGATGGAAATTCTTCTATTAAATTGGCGATCTCATTGCAAATCCAGACCTAGGTATAAGAGTCCGTTCTGTTAAGGAAATTTCTGGGAAGTAGGAAAAGAAAATAGCTATTCCAGTTGGAGTTCTGCCAGACCACTCCCACAAAATAAAGTCTGCATCGTCTTTCCGATTGCCTGGCACGTCCACACAACAGTACTTCAAGTAGCATAATCCTTTGTAAAGAACGTAAACCTCAACAGAGAGGATGTATTTTAAAATCAGGGTATGCTGTCATCTCTATCTGACAAGCAAGGAAGCCAAGGCTCAGGGAGTTGAGGTGATTTGTCCAGGATCTCCCAACTGGTAAGTTTAGGCCAATGGAGATTATAGAACACAGTGATTATGAGCCCGGACTCTGGAGTCAGACTGCCTGGATTTGAGCTCCACCACTTAAAAGCTGTGTGATTTAGAAAGTTATTTAACATCTATGAATCACAGTTTTCTTAATTATAAAACAGCGATAGTATTGGTACATACCTTACAGAGTTCTTATGGATATTAGATTTTTTAAAAAAGCATTTAAAGTAATTTGTAATGGCATACACATTATAATTTCTCGGTAAATGTTAGTTCCATCATCATTATTGTTAATATCATTTTATGACTATTATCATGATCCAGAGCTTTTTATGTTTCATCTTTGCTTTCTTCCTACTCTGCCCCAGGCTTAGAACAAAAATCCTCAACATGTGGATTCCACTTGCAAGAATGGAAAACAGGAATTATCAATGGCTCGCCTTTTTTCCCCCCACCCTTCCCTTCCTGTTCCACACACTGAATTAAGTTTGGCATTCATGTGATTTGGCTTTTTTCCTAGCAGATTAAGAACTTTAGAAGAGAGGAGAGAACTATAAGGGAGGTTAAGACAGAGGAAGCAGGAAGAATCTGGGACATCTGTCAGAGGCAACCAGCACCGAGGGATCCGCAGGCCCTCTGTGATGTGCTAAGCACACTTTCCACACCAAAAGGAAGGACTGAAAATGGGGTAAAATATTTGGAATTCAGGTGGTCTCTGCAAATGGGGAGGTATGGCCACCATGAACACGAGGATATCCTTAATCCCTTTCTGTTAGGCAAGAATGGCTTGGGGGAGTGTCTGAATACCTGCAGAAAAAAGTAGTCAGACCCTTAGCGTCGGGAAGAATACAGAAAAAAATCTCAAAATTCAATAAACGTATTTTTATTTGGCAGAAAATATTCAGGAAGAATTTTATAACCTCTGAAAGAAGCACTGCTGTCATTAGAGAAGAAGTCTCTGTGTCCCCGGAAAGAGCTGGCTCAGTGGTTTACAACTCTTATCTAACCTGAATGAGCAGCTGCTTTGGAGCAAAGCGTTTCCTAATTAGGTAAAACATGAACGTCTGCTTTTGGAATTGCACCCGGTTTAGGGTGTTTGCTCCAGCTGCCTAGAGTGCATTTTATGCCAAAAAAGAGTAGTTAGTGGGAGGGGAAGGGGGAAAGGATGTTACAGTTCCCAGCTCATTGGTCATGAAACGCAAACCATATTTAGTCATGAATCACAAAATTCAAGAAAATCTCAGTGTGAAAACTCCAGTCCGGACTGAAGCTGCCAAGCCCTGGTTTACAGGAAAGTTCAGCCTGGGGTGGCAGGGCTGGTTGCACAATCATGTTCACCTCACCAGGCTGAGCAGAACTTTAGGCTGAGAGAAATGCAAACCAGAAATCTCAGGGGCTGAGACACACACAGCTGTCAGATGCAAAGTCTGCTCCTTCCCTCTTTTTTGAAGAGAAAGATTCAGTTGGTTGCCTGCTATGCTCTGCTGCAAATGACCCATAATGCAGATCTTAACATGTAAGCTCACAGATGCATTCAAGAAATATGCATTTCCAACATAAGATACTACTTGTGAGAGCCATGGGTGCCCAGAAGCAAATACACCAATCCAGCCAAAATCAAAGACTAGGAAACTACCCTCTGTTCACTTCTAAAATCCACTTCCAGGTACCTTAGCTGCTCTGGAGATACAGTCTGATGAAAAATCACTACACCAAAATCTGAACCACAAACAAATCCCCGAGCTTCCAGTGCTTAAATATAAATAAATGTGTAACTTACTACAAACAGCTAGACTGCACATCTACAATGTCTTGCAAGC